ATCATATAATAAGCAGTCCTTTGACTTGGCTTCTTTTAGTTAGAATAATGTGTTCACATCATGATGTAGCGTGTATCAGTACTTCTTCATTTTTTTTTTTAATTGTTGAATAGTAGGATCTTGGGTTTTTAATCCCCCTAGTGGCTCAGTACTAGATCAGGGCCTTGCTCTTCTCCCTTTCTTCTGCCCAGAGGGCTTCTTTTCATCCTTAGGGAGCAGTGTGCCAGTGTCTCATTGGATAAGTTGTCTGTGTTTTGCCCATGGAGCCAAGCCAGTGTTCCTGGGTATTGTGGAGGAGGGGGTGGTCTTGGCAGCAGGGTTGCTGGGACAGAGCTGTAAGGCCTAGAATACTAAACACTTCTTGGCCATGGGCTCTAGGAAGACATCTGTCCACTGCTGCTGCCATCTTCCCCTGCCCCCCTTCCTCTTCAGTGGCAGTTCATTCACCCACAGGCTGGGTCAGCAGCTTCCCAGGCTGGGAGAAGGGCTTCCACGCCCCTGCTGCCTTAATTCTAACCCCTTCCCTGAGGGAATGCTAGGAGGGCGGATTGTACAGAATGGGAGCCCTGCCGTATTGTCTGAGTCATGAGGTCCCAGAGCTCAGACACTGATGAGTGCTGCAAGGGGTTTATATTCATTTCCAGAGCTGTTACAGCAAGGGTGAACTGGGTGCTTTAAAACAATGGATTGTATTCAATCGTGGTTCTGGTGGCCAGAAATCCAAAATCAATTTCACTGGGTCAAAATCAAGGTGTTGGGAGGACCACATTTCCTGCAGAGGCCCTGAGGAGAATCCAGTGCTTTTCTAGCTTTTGATGACTGCCACCATTCCATGTCCGTGGCCACATCAGTCCAATCTCTGCCTCTTTACATCATTTTGTCCGCGGTGTATATGGTCTCCTCTTCTAGCTAGGCAGTCTGTGTCTCTGTCTTACAAGGTAACTCATGATTGGTTCACAACCTTACCTGATACTCCAAGGTAACTTCTCCATTCAAGGTATTTAACTGAGTCATGTCTACAAACATAGGGTGCCTTCTCATTTTAAGGTACTATTTACAGGTTCCAGGGATTGAAGTCTGGTATCTTTGGGTGGTCATTAGTCTACTACTGATAAGGGAGGGGAAAGGAACTCATTGCATAGTGTCTTAATAGGCAAAGTTCTATAATACTGTATTCAAGTCTGGCCAGTAGCCCTGTTACTGAGAGGCTTGTTACCCCATTACAGATTGGAAAACCGGCTCACAGCAGTTCATCAAGTGGCTAACAATTGGTGGACCTTAGTCAGTTGAGTTCCACAGCAACTTTACTTGGACCTGTAGACCATTAGGTTGTCGTCTTGCCTTGGCTCCTGTGATACCTTGGTATCAGAGAGCTTTGTGCAAACTTTCTGTGAAGGCTTAGAAATAGGGAGGAACTGGAAAGTTCAGAGCCTGGGCTTGACCTCAGATCAGCGCAGTGATGTAGCGTAAATTTGCCTACGGCTGGGAACCCTCCAGCCCTACTCCCACCAGCACTTACTAAACAGCATTTTCTTCCCAAAGGGAGAGAGGCACCAGAGCCCAAGTTCTTCAGGCCGTTGGCGCTGAGGCTGGTGGGTAGCTGGTGGTCTAGCCTCTAGATCCAGGCCTAGATGTCAGTGTGGCAGCTGTAGGACACAAATCCTCCTTTTGCAGGGAGCGTACTCAGGTATCCTTCAGTTTTAGGGACACATCCAGATTTTCCCAGGACCAGCTGCCAGGCCTGCCTCTGCTGTGGTTCATGGGGCTTCCTCTCTTATCTCTACATTAGATTTTGCTCATGCCTAAATCTCAGCTTCACATGCCTTTATAAAGTGAGGATACTGTTTCCCGCCACTTGGGCTGTGGTAAAGACAACTAAATGAGGTAGGTCATCCTTTGCCTCTGGCATCTGGTGTGCAGCAAACATTCAGTTAATAGAAGCTCATCTTTCTTCCTGGCCTTTCCCTGCTTCCATGCCTGGTCCTATTTAGGCCTTGGCTCTGGTGAACATGTCAGGCTCTAAGCATCACTGGTGTACTTTGTGGCAGAAGTGACTTCATTTCTTTTTTGTTTCGCGTGATTTTTGCTTTTTGAGACAGGGCCTCGCTGTGTAGTTCAGACTGGTCTTGAGTTCGTTGCGTGGCCCATGCTGGCCTCAAATTTGTGTGATCCTCCTTCCTCAGTCCCCAAGTGTTGGGATTATAGACGAGCGTCACCACGCCTGGCACAGAGGTGACTTCATTTCTCTCATCCAGTTAACAAACATTACTCGAGGTCTTAGTGTCTGAGTCTTTTGCTCAGGTGCCAGTCTTAATGACCGGGTCAAGTCTGTTCCTCTGGGTCGCAACACCCTGTGTTGGCCTCTCTTGCTGCCCTGTACATGGTGTTTGTGGTCATTTCATTTCCCTGCCCCTCCCTTAGCAGTTTGTGAGTTAGATGAGTAAGTGGGAGCCCCTCTCCTCTATTTTTATTTTATTTTTTGTGGTACTGGGGATTGAACCTGGGTCCTTGAGCATGCTAGGCAAGCACTCTGGCGCTGGGCTATATCTCCAGCCCTTTTTGTCTTTTCCTTTATTTTGAGACAGACTCTTCCAAGTTGCCCAGGCTGTCCTTGAACTTGTGACTTCCTCATCCTCGCTAGTTGTTGCAGTCACAGGCTTGTGCCATATGCCATGCCCTCTTTGCCACCTCTTCGTTTACATGTTTGTCTTTCTTTCTTTCCCAGGAACGAGGGCAGGAGGTTGTTGTCTTCCCTTCCTTTTCTGCAACTCTTCCTTGTGTCAGGTCTGGGGCTATGAATACAGTTGGAGCTTACCTTTAGGTCACCCCTGGCTGGGTGTGCCAGTCCACAGTCTCCAGGGTAGGAGGGGCATCTGGACTCCTGGAATGTTGTACCCAAGCGGGAGTGTTGGTGCTACCCATGGAAGCCCATTAACCGCTTCCAGGTGCCTTGGTCATCTCTAGAAATTGAGTCACACCTTCCTGGGCTGTGGGGCTTGGTGATAGAGCTGACTGTGGATTCTCTTGTCCTTCGTCCCCTCCTGTCTAGCCACTCAGGGCCTTTTGAGAGTCTGTCAGTCATACCTCACCTCTTTCTATGCTGGTCTCTCCCTTTCTGTGGTTGGTGACTGCCTCACCAATATATGGTATTAACAAAGGTGCTTTGAATACTAAAACTACTTGTCTCTGTACACAAGTAGTCTACATCTACAACTCTGTCAATTAGACCGCATACCTCTTGTTGGATAGGAAACTGAGGCTTGGTGAGTTTAGCAGTTCACCTGAAATCACGCACCAGGCAGTAACAGCTGGGGTGGGAACCTAGAATTTCTGACCTCCAAACTTTTGTTTGGCTTTGAGACAGTTTCATTGTGTAGTTCAGGCTGGCTTTGACCTCACAACAGTCCTGCGCCAGCCTCCTGAGTGCTGGGATTACAGGCGTGTGCCACCACGCCACGCTTGGTTTGGCTACTTCCAAGCTTTATGATTACCACCCTTGCAAAGATTTCTCTCCTTTGGTTTCCCTGGGGAATGGGTTCCACTCCTTCCCTGAGCTGGGGACAAATGGCCTTGAAGAGAAGTGAGACCCCAGCATTAGATCTTATAAAGATCAGCATTGGATCTTACAATTTCCCTGGATAGAGTGGTATCCCTAAGAGCAGATTTGGGATCATATAGTATAGTTTGTAGCCCTGTTGCTGAAATAGGCTGGCTGATTCTGGTGGCCAGCAGAGGGCGCAAGGCGCCTGGGAAAGGTCTGCTTCTGCTCTGTTTTGCTTTGAAATGGAAAATGTGTTTTAAGTGGTACGTGGTCGTTAATTTTTTAAAATCCCAAAGTATATATTTGCACGGGTTCATTTAATTTGAGTCTTTGGGGTCAAATATGCTTTGGAATTTAGAAAACATGGAGAATTTAGAAAAGTTGACTTGTGTTTGTACTTTGTATTATATAATGCTCGGGCAAGGTCTAGGGCAGCAGCTCCTGGTCAAACACCTGACTGTTTCTGCGTGGAAATTTTTGAGTATTCGCCCCCAAATGGGATACCTGGGTACATGTCAGTTCTGGTCAGGTTGTGATACAAAATGAGTCAGATAAAGACTGAGCCAGGAATGGTCACATACCTATAGCCCCAGCACTTTGGGAGGCAGGGGCAGGAGCATCAAAAGTTTGAGCTTAGCCAGGGCAATTTAGCAATTTAACAAGACTGTTGCAGAATTTTACAAAGTAAGATAAAAAGGGTTAGGGATGTAGCTCAGTGCGAAGTCCCTATATTCCGTGCCCAGTGCCCTCCCCCACATATACACACGTGCACACACGCACATACACACAGACTTCGGATTTTCTGTTGATTTTTCCTCTAAGATTTTTGATGATCAAATCTTCTTTGGGTTTTTGGGATTTGAGACAAGGGATTGCATAGCTTTGTAAAGAAGGATGGTAAAGGAAAGTCACGTGTGACACCAACACTTAGGGATAATGTCTTGTGGTTTAGGCTTCCCAGTTTTGCCTGCATATGTGTTTGTGTATGTACATATTTGTAAACATAAATGTGTATATATATGTTAAATGTTTTCAGTCACAGATGAGATCATACCTTGTACAGTGCATTTTATATTTGCCCAGCTACATATTGGGCTCAGGATCTAGACTGTTACCAGTCACTCCATCTTCAGCATCTCTCCTGAGTGAAACTCCGGGAAGTAGAGCCAAATTCTCTGCCCAGGTACTTGCCAGGTCTGGGCCCCTGACTACATGGACTAGGAGCTGCAAGGTCAGCAGGAGTCAGAAGGCAGAAGGGCTCCTTCTGGGATCAAGACTTTCCCTAAAAGAAAAGAGTCCTACTCCATGTGCACGGAGTGGTCAAGACGGACCAAGAACTTTACCCTGTCCCGTGTCCTCTCTCTGCTAGTCATTGGCCCCACCAGGAGCCCTGAAGGCAGGACACTGGGGAGGGGTACGGACCTTCCCAGTTGCTGATCCCACCTCTTCCCTCCAGCAGGAACATTGGTTTGAAAAGGCCCTACGGGACAAGAAAGGCTTCATCATCAAGCAGATGAAGGAGGACGGCGCCTGTCTATTCCGGGCTGTAGGTGAGTCTCTGCCTCAGCCCTCAGGGGCCTAGGGCTGCCCCTGAGCTGTGTTCTGGTTGTCAGGAGTAACCCCTGCGTCTTGGTTGAGGCAGAGTCAGCTGATGTCTTAGGGTCTTCAGGCTCCAGCCTTAAATTAGTATCCAGTCTCTAGTTCTGGGTCATGAGACAGTGTGGTGGTGTGAGTAATAAGGACAGCAGTGGTAGTGATGCAAGAGAATAATGTGCTTAGGGACAGATTGCTCTTCTGCCATTGCAAGAAACCCTGTAAATTCTCCCCCAAACTGGTAAGCTTAGGGACTATTATTGCTTCCATTTGTCAGATAGGAAGCTCCAAGCTAGAGAGTGAGTTGGCCCGGGGTCATGCACAGATAGTATATGATAGAGTTGAGATTTGGAGTCTGGGTTAGATTAGATTAGTCTGAGGCTCATGCTCTCAGCCACAGCACACTGTGTCATTCTGGGATGTTTGTCACCTGGGTTTGTACTCAAACCCTCTCGTGGTGTGTCTGGGGGTGAGTCTCTATATTCACCCTCCAACCCCCCGTGTTGTGTGTGTGTGTGTGTGTGTGTGTGTGTGTGTGTGTGAGAGAGAGAGAGAGAGAGAGAGAGAGAGAGAGAGAGAAGTAGATATTTACAAATGTCTATTATAGTTTTCTATACAGATTTTTCATGCAGAAAAGAGAGAAAATACTGATTCCCTTATGTGTCCATCATCCAGCTTCAGAATAGTTAACACATAGCTAACATTTTCTCACTGCTCCACCCGCTCTCACTCCCCTGAAACAAGACTATTTTAAAGCAAAACCCTGACATGGGATCATTTCATTCATAAAGATTTCTGTACATTTCTCTGGCAGATACATCCCCTCTTTTAAAAACATACTGAAAATGCTATTATTGTACTAACAGAATTAATAATTTCTTAATACCATCTGCTAGCCATTCTGAGCTAGATCTTTGAGGCCCTTCTGGTTTGGAATCTGTGACCCAACAAGTAGTCTTCAGGTCCCGTGTTGGTGTGAAAGGGAAACTGGGAGTGTGGCCTGTTCCTTTCGTTGGCTCTGCTGTCCGCCAAGGTAAAGTACCCCATAGGGGCTTTGAACTGGGAGTCAGAAGTAGCTTCTAGTTCTGACTCTGACTCGTAACTGCTGTGTGGCACTTGGCCTCCATTTCCCCGTCTGTGAGATAAATGGCGTTCTCAAGGAATCCTTTTCAAGTTCCTTCTGGGTATGTTTTTCTTTTTTGTCTACCCCATCCAGTTGTCTGCTGGTGCACTGGACTCCTTGCAGTGTCTCTGACTCTTGGTGTGTGACCTTGGGAAAGCTGCTGTTTTTTCCTGAGCTGATTTCCTTAGCTGTAAAGTGGGGTTAAAAGACCCTACTGTTAAGTCAGGCATGGTGGTACATGCCTGTAATTCCAGCACTTGGGAGGCTAAGGCAGGAGGATTGAAAGTCAAGGCCAGCCTGGGCTGCATAGCAAGTTTGAGGCCAGCCTAGAGTATTTAGTAAGACCCTATCTCAAAAAGAAAAAAGAATCACCCATTAGTTTTATGACTTGACTTTGCTAAATCTCTTTCTGGCCTGACACAACAGAACAGTGATGATAAACCTTTTAGAGCAGTCAGTAATACAACAGCCCCCTGCAGCATTTGCCACCACTGTAGTAGAACAATAGCGTTGGTAAAGCCTGGATGCTGTAGTGCCACCAGCTACAGATGTTTTAGGGGTGGGGTGAGTGGTCCCCTCCCCACCAAGCAGAATGAATTCAAACAAGGGTTCCCTTGGGATAGAAAAACTCCCGACTGTCCTGCCCCTGTGGTTGGTATTCTCCCTGGGGTGTTGTGGAGAAAAAGAACTCTTTGGAGGCATCTTGGTTAAAAGGAAGGCAGAGAAAGAACAGATGGAGGTGCTAGTTCTGGTGACGAGACCTCAGGCTGCTGGTAGAACTGTGCATCTGAGTCGTGGGTAGTCACAGGCAGACCTGGAGGCCAGTGAGGATCTGGCGTGCGCAGTAACCCTGTGGAGAGGCAGTATCTGTGCATGTGTGTCTAGCTGGCTATTTTCTCCAAATGCCCCGGGCCCCCCCTCCATTGGAGCCTTCCAGTAAGGGGCCACTCTTACAGGAAGAGCTGACCGCAGCAGGTTGAAGGCCTTTCCTTATCAGCACTATGGCTACATGTTTCCCCTGACTCGGCTGCCCTCAGCTTTGCTCTGTAAAACCTCAGAAGTCTCATGCCCTCTCCCAGAAGTACGTGGCCCCTGGTCTCTAGGCCTCATCTAGAGGTTTCCCTGGTGCAGAGTACATAATACATGCGCTTGGGAAGGGGACTTTGCCCCCAGGCCTCCTGTGTCCCCATCTTTCCAGCCTAGCCTTTACAGAGACAGATGGCAGTTACCTTAGGCTCTGGTGCAGGCGCTGATTGTCCTGCCAGGCGTTGAGTAGTGGAAGGAGCACTGACTAAGCGATGGCGCTGAATGGGTTGCAAAAATTAGGGGCATTGTATGTTTCCCCAAAACCTACTGTGTGCCAAGCATTCAACTGCGTGCTTTATGCTCACCAGCAAAATTTAGATCATTATCCCGTGAGTCAGAGGAGAAGAATGAGGCTCAGAAGAGCAGGGCCTGAGGTATATAGCTCAGTGGTTGAGCGCTTGCCTAGCATTTGCAAGGCTATGGGTTGGATCCCTAGCACTACCCCCCCACCACCACATACACACAGGAAAGGGAAATGACGTGCTCAAAGTCACGAGTGGCAGAGTTGGGCATGTGTCTGTCTTTCTCTCGTCTGTCTCTGTCTCCCCTTTCTCTTTTTCTCTTCCTCCCTTCCTTCCTCCCTTCCTTCCTTCCTTCCTCCCTTCCTCTTCCTTCCATTCCTTCCTTCTTCTTCTTTCTTTTATTCCTTCCTTCCTTCCTCTCTTCCTTCCTTCCTTCCTCTTCCTTCTTTCATTCCTTTCTTCCTTCCTTCCTCTTCCTTCCTCCTTCCTTCCTTCCTTCCTTCCTCTCTTCCTTCCTTCCTCTTCTTTCCCTCTTTCATTCCTTTCTTCCTCTTCCTTCCTTCCCCTTCCTTCCTTCCTTCCTTCCTTCCTTCCTTCCTTCCTTCCTTTCCTTTCCTTTCCTTTCCTTTCCTTTCCTTTCTTCTCTTTCTTCCTCCCTTGCCCCTTCCTGTCTGTCTCTTGTCTGTCTGTCTGTCTGCCTGTCTCTTCTAGATCTTGCTGTGCTGCCCAACTGATCTCACACTCATGGCCTCAAGCAGTCCTCCTGCCTCTGACTCCGAAGTAACTAGGATGACAGGCATGAGCCACCATTCCACTGTGTCCTTTCTTTCTGGGCCTAGCTGTCCCCTGTGTGAACCAGTATCCATTGCTTGGATCCAGTTGTGTCCCACCACCACCTCTTGGGGATTCATGAGCATGAGGAAGGCTTGGATGGATGGAGGTGGGAGCCTGGGTCTTAGAGGTACCCTGTGGCCCACCCTGCACTTGCTATGCTCGGGTAACCTCCTCCTGGAAACATGAGTCTGCTTCTCTTCCTCTCTTGCTCTTCCCCTCCATATGGCTTTGACTCAACAGAAACCTTTGGCCTTGGCCATGGCTCTGGTGCTGGTCTGGGGGCAAAGTGGATACCACATGAATGTGTCTGCATGGACCACAGGGGAACAGTTGGTGCTGTGCATGTAACGCCCGTAGGGCCCAGGAACATTAGCTAGGTCCACTCTTCTGGGCCTGTTGGTCTCAGAATATGGGCAGCCATCAGCACTGGGAAAAATGGATCTTAGATCAGGTTTGTTTTGTTTTGTTTTACTTGGTTTTGTTTGTGGTACTAGGATTGAACCCAGGGCCTTTGCACTGAGCTACATTCCCAGCCCACCACCCCCGCCCCGCTTTTTTTTTTTTTTTTGGTCTTTTTGAGACAGGCTCTCGCTATGCAGTTCAGGCTGGGCTTGAGCTCACTTTGTAGCCCAGGCTGGTCTCAACCTCACAATGATCCTCCTGCCTCAGCCTCCCGACTGCTGGGATTACAGGCGTGCGCCACCACGCCCCGCCGCTTTTTGAGACAGGGTCTTGCAATGTAGTTCAGGCTGGCTTTGAACCTATTATTGTAGCCCATCCTGGCCTAAAATGTGCAATGTCGGTCCTCCTGCCTTAGCTTCCCAACTGCTGAGATAACAGGTGTGTGCCACCATACCTGGATTGACTATTTTATAAGTGGGGAAGCTGATGCCTCAAGAGAGAGCCCACACCCTATTCTTTGTATCTAGGTCACATAGCCAGTGTGAGAACACCAGTGTGTGAGGTTGAACCAGGCCACAGAAGGAGAAGATTCCCGTGGGCTGTTTTCCTATACACGAGCTTCCTTTGACCTCTCTTGCCCTGCCTCCTTCTGTTTTTCATCTGTGCCACAGGACTCCTTGAGTGGAGGAGCAGTCTCAGGGACCAGGCTCTGTAGTACTGATGGAGTAGTTGGGGCTACAGACCAGGTCATACCATAGCTGCTTGGCAGGTGGGTGGGGACCTTTTTCCAGGTTTCTTGTTCTTCAGTGGGGCCGGGTTCCCACTGCACAGGAGGGCAGTGGGGAGCAGACAAGGCCGCCTCTTCTCCTGATGTTATGTTTACCCACATTTGGGTGGTTTGTTTTTAGACACCATGCTTCCTTTTCTGTCCTTAGCAGAACTTGCTGTGACTCTCCTGTCAGGCAGGCAAGTGGTAACCTGGGGAGTAGGCGGTTCCGTGGCTCCTAAAGCGAATGGGAGGGCCCTTTCTCTTTAGAAACAGAATCCAGAGTCTCGTGTTTTGCTTTGCAACATAAATCTGACAAATATTAGTTACATTTTAGGTAACCTGGGGAGGAAGGACTTCCCCCAGGCAGCAGGAGGGAGGCTGAAGAAAAATAGGTTAGAGCATTAGTCATACCCTGTCCCTCCTACCTGGGCAAAGGCTGGGAAGGAAGTGGGGAGGTTCCGGAGTTTACACAGCCTCGCATCTTGTCCAGCCTTTGGTCTT